CTCAGGGGAAAATGGCATTATTTCGACATTACTTATGAACAGCTCAAGTATAGTCTGAGCAACCGATTTAGCTATATGTTTCACTGGAAAGGATTCATCTAGTTTTCTAAGTTCAGGCCACTACCCTGCTTGCATGATGTAATTATTTCTACTCAAGCCATTCCCATAAGTAAATTAAGATGAAAAGCCTTCAATCAAGAAATCAATTGTTTTGAAAGATATAGATGCACATTTTCAATTAGTGGATAATGATAATGGCACAGTTGAATTTATTTTCGTTCCAGCACATTACAGCAATATATTTTTAAAAAATAATATACCCTTTTAGCAGTTTTGAGAATAAATGTGCTTATTTTCCAAAAGGATGCTAATGTAATGCATTAAGGTGATTAATACTAAAGGAGAATCAATTCAAATCATTAAATTGGTAGACAGACTGACTCTAAAATAACTCAGGTTCATGATTAAAAGTTTTAGTGAATTGTGGAAAGGAAAGGCACTGCCAGTGTCTTAATATAAAGGCAGTCTTTTTCCCCATTTGCTGAAAAGAGTACTGCTATTAAGTTGAATTCAAGAGTAGCAGCTCAAGAACGCAAGCAACAAGATGAACATAAATCTAAAGCCTTCTCTTTCAGGAACTACTCTGATTACTAGAAAACGTATGCCAGGTGCTGCAAAAGAAAATATAAAAAATAGTAAGACTTTAACCTGGTGATACTAACAAAAGACACACAGAGCACTGTTGTTGATAAAAGGAACAGATCAAGATTTAATATGAGGATAACACCCAGTGAGCCAATGAGGACAACTCCCGACTTATCCTGACATTTAATTTATTTCGGCATTTAACACAATGTATGAGTGTAACTGTAAAGCATATACACATTTCCTGTGTTGCATGCACTGAGTAGTCTTCCACACAATACTCATGTACACAGTGTGTACATCAAAAAGGAGGAAGCCTTTGCATGTACAGCTAGGAAGCAAGACTGGGAAACCCAATGGCACAGGTTCCTATGTAATGTTCAATGGAAACATTCACATTTTGAGCTGTATTGCAAAAGTCCCATCCCTGCACTTCAAAAACCATATTCTAGTGGGACAGCATATAACTAAAATGCCTGAATAGTGTCTAAGATTCCACTGTGATTTTTACTAACTGCAATCTTGTGGAGCAGCATGAATGGGAGTGATTTTGTAATATTAATGCTAGGAGGCAACAAGGAATTAGCGATACTATCTGTCTCATTTTTCTAGAGCACCATTGTCTTCATGGCATGGAATGCAAAACCGGTGAAATGAAATAGATGAACTCTCTTTTCTAATCTGAATTCTTGCTGTAATCGAATGCCATTCATTTTTATCCTCTCTCACAGCTTAGTTGTAATCACAATGCAAACTTGCTTGCACAGCTGCAATTTCGAGAAGGAACTAGAAAATGCCAAAATCTGTCCTCTCTTCTCTGTTTTCAACTGGGTGGCACATTCCTCTATTACAGTAAAAATTCCTCATGATGACCTCCTCTGGCTCGCTTCCAAATGTCTACAAATATAACTACTGTTTTGACATTCTTCAGCAATTCAGCTCAATATGTTTTAATACAGTGTCCACACTGTTTCCCACATGGCTGCGCAAGCCTCCCTAAAGAATGTTTCAGAGAAAAAGAAACCTCATCCCCCTCCAAATATGTTACAATAAGAGGACAAATGGGCTTTGCTTTGATTTTGATATTTGGAAAGCCAATCCTTCCTTTCCTTACATCTATTTATTCATGAATGTGTGCGTGCAACCAAAGATAATTTCTCATCTTTCCTTTGGCTCCCACAGCAGTAAAATAAAATTGTGGGAAGTGAAGCTATAGCTGGACATGTTGGGCATGCCCTCCACTCAGACTTTGCAATGCAGCGAAAGAGCACATTTATTTTTACAAGAAATTGCTATCACATGGGTGCTTCCTTTACAGCCTGGATTTTCCACTAGATACACATTGTTTCCTATTCCCTGGATATTCCGCAAGACACACTCTACTTCCCTGCACCAGTCTCCTACTGTCGTAATCAGGTTCTTGAGAAGTGGATAAAACTCTATAACAGACCTTAAAAATCAAGCTAGAAGGGGGAAAAAAACCCTACCAACAGCATTTTAGGATAACAAAACTATTTTTCCAAAGTAAAAAAAAAACATCAGTAAAGTAGTTACTTGAGAGTCAATACAATGAAGTAGTTTATGGATTGAACTATGACTCTGGAGATCTGTGTTCAACTTCTGACTCAGCCATTGAAATCGACTGGATGACCCCAGGCAAGTCTGCACTCTTGTCACCTTAAAGCAGTAGTTCTCAACCTTTGGTCCTCCAAGTATTTTGGACTTCAACTCACAGAAATACCAGCCAGCTTAGCAGCCGTTAGGAATTGTGGGTGCTGAAGTCCAAAACATCTACTGCTTTAGAAGAAGGCAAAGCCAAAGCCTGTCTGAATAAATCTTGACAAGAAAGCCCAGTGATAGGTTCACTTCAGAGTCACCATAAGTCAGAAATTATCTCAAGGCTTACGAAAGAAAAATAAAACAGCAACAATATACTTTTCTTCTATCTATGAAAAACAAGTTGAGCTCCCTCCTTATCTGAAATTCCAAAATCTGAAATACTCCAAAATTGACAAAAGGGGGCTGAGATGGTTCAATGTACACAAAATGTGTTTAATGCACAAACTTATTTAAAATATTGTATAAATTACCTTTAAGCTATGTGTATTAGTTGTATAAATGAATTGCGTGTTTAAACTCCAAAATATCTCATTATGTACAGATATGCAAGTACAGGTATTCCAAAATGTGGGGAAAAAATCCAAAACACTTTAGGATAATCTGTAATTCTACAAAGGTTTGGATAAGGATGATGATGATGCAACGTATTATTTTTAAATAATGAGCAATAGCCAAAGTGAAACAAACTCCCCTGAAAAACATCTTCACTGGCTGCCAATTTGTTTCTGGGCACAATTCAAAGTCCTGATTATGACCCATAACACCCTACATGGCTCAGGCCCAGGCTATCTGGCAGACTGTATAGGAGTTTGCCCAGACCTTGACACCCTCAGGAGTGTCCCTTCTCTTGGTCCAGCCACCATCACAAGCACGGTTAGCAGGGACCTGAGAGAGGACCTTATCAGTGGCTGCCCTTGACTCTAGAACCTCCTTCCCTGGGATGTCAAAACACCCCCATTTTTGTTGTCCTTCTGATGCCTTTTAAAAATATGATGGCAATTCCTGCTCACATAGTACTTTAAAAAGAGAGAGAACATATTCCGAGTTCTGTTGTAAATGAATGACGCAGAATATTCAAACCATTCCAGGACACAAATGTCCAGTCATAGTCAGATAAGTCAAGGGTTATTCTGTAGAGAGGAAAGCACCAATGCTGTCTTCAGGCCAACTGCCCCTGGTTGCCATTACCATTTTCCAACCGCTTCAAATAGGCCAGAAGTGGAGAGACTAGAGGGAAGTTGGTGCTTCTTTTTAGGTTCTCTTTGGATGGACCAAGCTCTTATCATTTGCTACTCTCCTTTTTGACATGAGTAATATACAGTATTCACACTGACCCATGGATAAGTTGACCCAGTTTTGTGGTGGAGGTTGATTTTTGACAATACGTAGGTAAAGATAAAGGTTTCCCCTTGACATTAAGTCTAGTCATGCCCAACTCTGGGGTGGTGGTGCTTATTTCCATTTCTAAGCCAAAGAGCCGGTGTTGTCCTTAGACACTTCTTAGCTCATGTGGCCAGCATGATTGCATGGAGCACCGTTACCTTCCTGCCAGAGTGGTACCTATTGATCTACACACATTTGCATGTTTTCGAAAAGCTAGGTTGGTAGAAGCTGGCCCTAAGAATATTACTAATTCTTCTCAATCATGCACAATGTTTTCAAAGAAGCACATATTCAGTTGCAAAGGGGTAGATAACAGAAGCTAAGAACCTACGAAATGCTTCTCATATGCAATAACTGTTGCCTGCAAGTAAAGCATACTGGAGTGACAATTTTTGCATTCAGTTATGGTTAGAGAACCTTTCTAGCTGGCATGCTATTACAATCCAGTTAATTTATGTAGGCAAGACACGATCACAGCATGTCTACCGCTGATGGATCATAGGTTAAATCAATCAATACATGTGGTCCAAGCAACAAACAAGGCATTATATAAATTAAGTAACTTCCCTAGCCTTCAAAAGATGTCCTTTTTAAAAAAATGTCTCAACCGAAAATATGATAACATCAAGAGTTTTGCAATATACACATTAAAAATTTACCACATTTCTCCAGAAATAAATAAATATTGTTTGCTTGTTCTGTGGCCCAGAATTGTAGATCAGGTAAGACTGGGGAAAAGAAGACCACCAGAGCAGACAGAAGGGAACGGATTCTATCAGATTCTGAGAGATCTTGCAACAAGATAAATATTGTATTGTCGAAGGCTTTCATGGCTGGAATCACTAAGTTCTTGTGGGTTTTTTCGGGCTATATGGCCATGTTCTAGAGGAGAAATGCCTCTAGAACATGGCCATATAGCCCGAAAAAACCCACAAGAACTTAAGATAAATATTATGAAGATTTTTATATTATATTAATTCTTATTTAGATATTGGAGTTTAGGGTTTTGCTTCTATCCATGGTGACATGTATCCAACTGGAGCACAAAATCAACAATCTGCTCCCAAACTAATTCTGGGTGTAAAGTAAATTACAAACAGATGCAGCAAAGCACACGCATTTATCAAAAATGACACAAATCCCCCAAACGCTCCCTTTCCAGAAGTAGTTCCATCAGAGAAATAATATCATTGGATCCAATCCCCTGTGTGTGGAGAATGTAGAACATGAGAGAAGTCTGGGCTACCATCCAGGTCCATTTTGCAACATCTCCAAATAGGTATTAAGCTGAAGCAGAAAATTTGCACATTTAGGGCCCATAAAGGGAAAAGCCAAAGGCATGTTCAACTCACCGATCAACTGCTTCTACATCAAAGCAAAACCTCTTCTCTATGGAATCTGTTTTCCGACGTGTGCAGGATTTGAGGATAATGGCTTCATCTTCTCCCTGATAAAGATCAAAGATAGGAGCAATTTATATATTTTTATATCACATACTGTCTGAATATTAGTAATGTTAATCTTGCAAGTAACACATGACCTAGTGATAATTACTAATGAAGAAAGATTTTGATTTCAGTGCTACCTGAAAACTGTCAGAATTTGACAAATAAACCATTGGAGAAATCTATTTACTTTGAGACAGACAGCTATTCTATATAGTTTAGGGCTGAGTTACATCATATTTCTTTGGTTCTAAGACTCCATCAATTGTAAGACACACACTAATTTCAGCAACACCAACAGAAAAAAAGCTGTCTCCCCTCTGTGTGTGTGCGTTTGTGTGTGTGTATATACACACACACAGAGAGGGGGGATAATCCTAAGACACACCCCATTTTTAGAGATGTTTGTATGAGAAAAATATTGTCTTAGAACTGAAGAAGCACAGTATTTGGTGCTTCAGAGGTTATTGAAATACAGCTCAGTTCAATCTTAGCACAACCAAAAGAAAACTGATCCCACAAAAGGAAATTGCGCTATATGGCAGCAGAAAAACTTTCCTATTTATAATACCATACTTCAAACAGTGGCAAACAAGATTCCTACAACAAATATCTAGTGAATATAACAATATGAATATGAAATGACTATAACGTGCAGGTGCAATTCTCACCATTTCAAGGCATTGCAAACTCTACTGATGAAAGGCAAATACATTTGCCCTTCTATGCTCATCACCACCTTTGTCTTGGGAGAGGAGAGCTCAACCCATTCAATTCAGTCATGTAACCGGGTTATCTCCCATTATATAAAAAAAAGGTCTCTCACTCAAACATTCAGTCCAACCCTACATCTTCCAATAATAGTATAGGATGAATTCAACTGATAGAGCAGCATGGGAAAAGGGCAATGCTGCAGGAACTATCTATTATTCTGGCAAGTGTGTTGTGTTTCCAGGACTCAAAAGCCCAGAATTCTATCTTATCAGTTAATGAACTTCTTTCAAATGACTCAAAATGATCTACAGTGCAGACTTCTTTGTTTACTATCCAATTTTTTTCTGGAAGGAAGTACGTCCCTCCTATTTCATTGGGTTTTGTTTGGTTCATGAATATTTGGAAAGATCCCAAAAATGAGGTTCTATACAATGCTTCTGCACAGTTATGTTGGCAAGCTGCGAGCAGAAATGCAACAGAAAATGTCATACATGAAAGGGGCAATATTAGTATTCATCAAGCCATGATTTAGCTTCAGATGAGTTGACCCAACTGCTAGGAAAAGTGCTTTAAATGCAATGGTTGTAGACCTTTATTGATCTAGGAGCACCGCTAATTCAAATGCAAATAAATAAAATGCTGCAAGTCAGGGCAAAATGAAAGAAATTATTCATGGCACATCCTTTGCAAAGGAAATCTATAAGCACCAGCTACTAGCCATGGCATCAATCTGTGAGCTGTCAAAACAATTGTAATGAACCCGTTGTCGAAGGAGCTACTATACTTTGTCAAAAGTCTTCATTTCCAAAGTTTCCATATGAAGCAGATTTCTTAGTGGTAGGAATGTTTTTTAGGTTAACATTTCTTCTTCTCGAAATTGCAGACGTGTTAACACTAGGCCAGAGAAGCCAAAATCAAGATAGTCCATCTTCCCAGTCTTTGAACTTTTAACATCATATGTGTACACAGATGTGTGACTAAGCTGTATGCCCACATCAGAGTGTGTGTGTGTACTACAAGCCTGTGTTTATAAGTTTAGGCTACAGAAAATTATAAACAACTAGCTGTGCCCTGCCACGCGTTGCTGTGGCCTATAGTAAAACTTATCAAAGTTGAGGTAGATATCTGGACTATTATGAAAGAGAGGTCCCTACCTATTCCTTCCCCCTTTTCCTCCCCCTTTCTCTCCTTTCTTCCTTCTCTACCTCTTTCTTTCTTTCTTCTTTCACTACTTGGTTTCATCCTTCTCTTTCCTTCATTCCCTCCCCCTTTCTTCCTTTGCCTTTCTTCCCTCCCTGTTTGCTTCCTTCTTTCTTTTTATTTCCTTTTATTTCACCACCATCATAACAATAACAATAATGCAATGCATTGCCTCTGGGACCTGCCACCTCTCCCATTCCCCCAGGGTCTCATAGGAATAATAGCATAATAATAATAGAAATAACAACCTTTACCCGCCACTTTCCTTCCCTCTTTCTCTCCTTCTTTCCCTCCTTCCTCCTTCCTTCCTTCCTCCTTCTTCCTTCCTCTTCCTTCTCTTCTCTTTCCTTCCTTCCCCTTTTCTTTCTTCCTTCTCTTTTTCTTCCTTCTCCTCTTTCCTTCTTTCCTCCCTCCCTCTTTCTCCTCTTCCCCCTTCTTCCTCCTCTTCCTTCCTCTTCTTCCTTTTTCTTCTTCTCCTTCTTCCTTCCCCCTTTTTTTCTTTCTCTTCTTCCTTTTCTTCCTTCTCCCTTCCTCCCTTTTTTCTTTCCCTCCCTCTGTCTCTCATTTCTTCCTTCTCTACCTCTTTCCTTCCTTCCCCCTTTTCTTTCTCTTCTGCTGTCTCTCTTTTCTTTCCTTCCATCTTTCCTTTTCTTTCCTTTTCTTCTTCCTTCTTTCTCTAACTTTCCTTCCTTCCCCCTTTTTCTTTACCTCCCTTTCTCTTTCTTCCTTCTTTCCTTCCTTCCTGTCTTTCCTGGATTTTGACAGGGCGGGAAGGGGCGGGGTGGGGTTTGGAGGTGGCGTGAAGTAAGAGGAGGTAAGATTGTGGCAGGGGAGTGATGGAGCGTGGGGTTGTGTATGTGTGTGCGGTGGCAGGGGGAGTGATGGAGTGTGGGGTTGCGTATGTGTGTGCGGCAGCAGTGGGGTTGCGTGTGTGTGTGCGGCGGCGGGGGGAGTGATGGAGCGTGGGGTTGCGTGTGTGTGTGCGGCGGCGGGAGGAGTGATGGAGCGTGGGGTTGCGTGTGTGTGTGCGGCGGCGGGGGGAGTGATGGAGCGGTGCGTGTGTGTGTGCGGCGGCGGGGGGAGTGGGTTGTGTGTGTGTGTGCGGCGGCGGGGGGAGTGATGGAGCGTGGGGTGCGTGTGTGTGCGGCGGCGGGGGAGTGATGGAGCGTGGGGTTGCGTGTGTGTGTGCGGCGGCGAAGGGAGTGATGGAGCGTGGGGTTGCGTGTGTGTGCGGCAGGGGGTGTGTGTGTGCGGGAAGCGCGCGGCGGGGCTTGGAGTGGGCATGTTCTGCAGAGGGAACGTTGGCTGGAAGGCTGCTGTGCGCGCGCCAGGGAACTTGCGGCTGGGCGCCAATGCGCATGCTCAGTTGTTTTGCCGTTTTGTGAGTGTGTTGTTGTGTTGTTTTTCATTTTGAGTAGATATGTTTGTACCTTGTGGGTTGTGTTATGGGCATGGGAAATTTGGGTAAGATTCGTTGGGGTTTTTTTAGTTTTGTTGTTTTGCCGTTTTGTGAGTGTGTTGTTGGTTGTTTTTCATTTTGAGTAGATATGTTTGTACCTTGTGGGTTGTGTTATGGGCATGGGAAATTTGGGTAAGTTTCGTTGGGGGGTTGTGGAGTTTTGCTGTCCCGTTGAACCAACCTAACAGATTTATATATATAGATAACTTGTTTAGATAGAACTGGGGCCATACCACAATAAACAAGAAGAAAAAGTTTTAACCAATCTATTAACTGGAAAAAGCATTTCAGCTATTGAACGAGAGATTCTGTATTAATATTAATACAGAATTAATTAAAAACAATAGTAACAAAACAAAAAATACTTGACAATTTGAGCCTCTCTGGGAGACTTGGAGTTGCTCCACACATTCAATGGTTTCAGGGCAACAACCATATCAGACCTTTGTTCATTTCCACACAAATATATACACAAACACAGGTTCTTCAACTCTGAGAGAGAGATACAGTTCTGAGATATAGGTAGAGGTTTTTTTTCTTTAGCGGGACTCCACACCTAGCTGTGGAAAGTAGCTTCCCCACTGTAGCAGCTTGCACAAGCTAATGAAATTATTACCTAAAAGACTGTCTTGCCCTGAAGGATGCTATACCAGTTGGTCTTTGGGTGTGATCATTATTAGTCATAGCATCTCTTAACAGGAATTAAAGACAGGACTTCAGAGAAACTGAAAAAATTCAGAGCTATGGGTATTTCACTCTTGGGGCCCTTCTGCACCACTATAGCATTAAGATTCCACTAGCTGCATCCTAAGGGATACTGGGGTTTACAGTTTGGGGAGGCACTGGAGGAGAAATCTGACTGAAAATTCTGAATGTCTATAGTGAGAGTTCAAAACAGTTTGGGACGAAGTTATACTCTATCTGAATCTGCCTATAATAACAGAACATACCACCATGAAGTTTTACTGTAGTCGTACTACAATTATGGCACTCTCTCCTCAAGGAAGTCCTTGTTCTGCCATAGGCAGGCTTTGGAGACTTACCATCAAATCTTTAATGGTTTTGAATATGACCTTTTGAATTTGAAATTAACACTCTGGGTCTATTTTTACTTGACAATGTCATTGTTTTACTCAGTTTCATTACTGGCATTTCCCCTTTTTTATTATTTTTGTTTTTCTGTTTACACAAAGTGTACAAAAGTTACTGTTTGTAAATACGTTAAGCAAATATAAAAACAGAATATTAGCTGAATGTGAATTTTAAAAATCTGAAAAGTGCAGTGGTTCTCAACCTGTGGGTCCCTAGGTGTTTTGGTCTTTAACTCCCAGAAATCCGAACAGCTACTAAACTGGCTGGGATTTCTGGGAGTTGTAGGCCAAAACACCTAGGGACCCACAGGTTGAGGACCACTGCCATAGGGAGATAGAAGTGTTCACCTAAAGCACTGCTTCTTTAACTGTGGGCCCAGACCTCAAATGACCCTTATTTATTTATTTACTCTATTTGTATCCCGCCTTTCTCTAACCCGAAGGGGACTCAAGATGGCTTTACATATGGCAACTATTCAATTCCACTGAACAACAAACAGTTAAAATACATTAAGTTAAAGATTTAGAAATTAAAATTAAATGCATATTAAAACATATAAAACATTACAATCACTATTAAAAATATGCCATCCACAATCATAATCCGGGGCCATTCCAAAGGTCATTGCACATAATTGCATAGCCATTATTGCAATATAGTTAATCTCCAAAGGCATGATCCCCGAGCCTGGTTTTAACTTTCCTTCTGAAGGCCAGGAGGGAGGGAGTTGCTTTAATATAACTGGAGAGGGAGTTTCACAGCCAAGGAGTCACCACTGAGAAGGTTCTGTCTCTCGTTTCCACCGGATACTCCTGCAAAGGAGGCAGGACGGAGAGCAGGGCTTCCCCAGACACTTTTAATCTTAGGAGGAGATATGTTCAGACAAGTAAGTTGGACTGGAACCATTTAGGGCTTTATAGGCTAAAGCCAGCACTTTGAATTATACTCAGTAGCAGACTGGCAGCCAGTGGGGTGGCGTAACCGGGGGGTTGTGTGCTCCCTGTTGGTGTGTGACAGCAACCCTTAGCTTTATGTTGGTGTCACAAACAAAAATGGCAACAATAAAAGGTTTCTGAACACCACCATTTACACAAATCTGTTAACAACAATGCGTAGTGAAGTAAACAGAAACAGGTTATTTATTTTATTTATTTAAAACTTTTATATCCCGATCTTCTCTACCTCCGAAGAGGGACTCAGACCGGCTGACAGCAAAGATTCAATGCTAACATTAACATCTAAAAACGTATTACAACAACATTAAATTACCAAATACAAATAAAATGAATTACATAAAAGCTGTTCACCAAGATAAAATCGTGTCCAGTTCAGTCCGTAAAATCAGTCCATATATTGTCCATATATTGTGGTCAGTAACTTTATTTGATTGCTTGTCTCAGACATTATTCTGCAAAAGCTTTGTTCCACAGCCAGGTTTTCACTTGCTTCCTAAAGGTCAGGAGGGAGGGGTAGATCTAATTTCATTTGGGAGGGAATTCCATAGGCGAGGGGCCACCATAGCCGAGGGGCCACCACAGAAAAGGTCCTGTCTCCCCACCAAACGTGCCTGCGAAGGAGGCGGGACCGAGAGCAGGACCTCTCCAGATGATCTTAGCACTCTAGATGGTTCATAGGGGAGAATACGTTCGGACAGATAAACTGGGCCAGAACCATATAGGGTTTTGTAGGTTAAAACCAGCACTTTGAATTGTGCTCAGAAGCTAATTGGCAGCCAGTGGAGTTGGCGCAACAGGGGAGTTGTACGCTCCCTGTACCCCACCCCAGTTAGTAGCCTGGCTGCCGAGCGTTGGACTAATTGGAGCTTCCGAGCAGTCTTCATAGGCAACCCCATGTAGAGAGTGTTGCAGTAGTCTATATGGGAGGTAACCAGAGCGTGGACCACCGTGGTCAAGTTCAACTTCCCAAGGTGTGGACGCAGCTGGCACACAAGCTTTAACTTTGTAAAAGCTCTCCCGGCCACCACTGAGACCTGGGGTTCCAGGCTCAGCAATGAGTCCAGGATCACTCCCAAGCTGCGAACCTGCGCCTTCAGGGGGAGTGTAACCCCGTCAAGCACAGGCTGTAACCATATGCCCCGTTCAGCCTTACGACTGACCAAGAGTACCTCTGTTTTGTCTGGATTTAATTTCAATCTGTTCACCTTCATCCAGTCCGTTACAGCGGCCAAGCACCGGTTCAGGACTTGAGCAGCCTCCTTAGTAGCAGGTGGGAAGGAGTGACAGAGTTGGACATCATCTGCATTCAGATGACACCATACCCCAAAACTCCGGATGATCTCCCCCAACGGCTTCATGTATATGTTGAATAACATAAGGGACAGTATTGAGCCTCCATAAAAGGAAAAATCCGCCTGTTTAGAAACCCTTGCAAATGCTGATTTAGTATCAATAAATTTTTGATTTAATACTTCTGTAATACAATGGCAATAAGTTATACGATCCAATAAAATAAATCTTTGATTTTTATACTTTTTATATGCCTATATAACTGGGATCATGTAAAAAAATTCTCATGTGAAAAGAAGTGACTAGCAGAACAGGTTTAAGAAGTCCTGATCTAAAGAACAAGGAGAAAAACAGAAATAAGCATTTGGAATGTGCCTTTTTTTACTTCCCATGTATTTCAATCTCCTAACCATTCACAGTGCAATCCTAACCCATATAGATCCTCAAGTTAGGAGGGGTTAGGACTGCAGAAATGGTTTCTAACTGATGTGATGTCAGAGAAGGTGCAATACTTCCAGGGTGGGGCCTACTGCTATGCCCACAGGGTGTTTCACTCCTCTACTGGAAAACTGTACGCCCCAAAACTGGGTGGTCTATGGGTGGAGCAGAAAATTTTCAGATCTGTGGGATCCAAGGCTCCATTTTTTTCCCTAGGGGGTCCCCAAGATAAGGCATTCTTCTCAAGTTTTGCACTTCAATCCCCAAAGTGGGAGAAATGTGGGGAAGTAGTTAATTAGAGAAAGCAGACCAAAAGTCCGGGTGATAAGGTCGGGGACAAATCCCACAACTTCATCTAAACCAGAATGTGATAGCAGAGATTTGGAAGTAGCAAACCTTCTACTACTTTGCTCCCCGTTCTCCTACCCCCTTCAGATTATTCTGCAGCTGGTAAAAGGATAACCTTATGTAACTCAGTTCCCTTGCGCAAAAAGTCCCTTCACAAACTGTGATCATAATAATAACAATAATCCTAGAACTGTCCAAGGTCTTTTTTTTTTTTTGCTGTTTCACTTACCCCTTTTCCACCAGACTTCTGGTCAAATGGCACCATAGTTATTCGTTTAGAATCACTCTGATATGTGCAGTAATGTTTCACCCAAGATGTCCCAAAATGACCTGAAAATAATTGAAATGACTTATTATTGTTATTATCCATACATAACATTAAATTATCTCATACCGTATAATTATCACTGAATTCACTTCTTGTGAACGAAACAAATCCACCAGCTGCAAGGCCTTCCAAGGTATAGCTTTGCCTCCAAGCTGCCTGAATTTCAGAGAAGGGCAGAGGTAATAAAACAAGTTTGGAAGCATGTATGTACAGGAGTCTTCCAGTTATATTGGGACAGCCTCTGTTATTTACATATTACAGCCCAAGTGGGCCCTCTAGAGAACTGAACGTAACACACAGGGGAACATACACAGATGCATTCATTCATATTGGCAAAAGTCAGAGCATTTAGCATACAGATAACCATTTTATCCCAACAAGGATTCTACATATTAATTGGCTGCATCATGAAAAGTATATTTTTCGTGTTGCTGCTTTTTAAAAAGAACACTTTTTGCATCTACATTCACTTCAATTGTCTCCTTATCCTGGTAATAAGAAAAACAAATCATTATGTCTATCTGAGACTGAGAACGCCTGCACAATCTCCAAACAAAGGCACTAAGATACTATTTAACTCATACATGAAACTGCTGGGAGAGGTCATCTGGAGTTTTGGCGTGTGGTGCCAACTATATGCAGATGACACTCAACTCTACTAATCTTTCCCACCTAGAATCAAAGAAGCTGTCCTGACCTTAAACCAGTGTCTGTCATCAGTAATGGACTGAGTGAGGGCAAACAAACTGAAACTTAATCCAGACAAGACAGAGGTACTTCTGGTCAGTTGGAAGGTAGATCAGGGCATAGGAATCCAGCCTGTACTGGATGGGGTTACACTCCCCTGAAGACCCAGGTCTGCAGTTTGGGGGTCCTCCTGGACTCGGCACTGAACCTGGAGGTCCAGGTGTCAGCGGTGGCCTTTGCACAATTAAAACTTGTGCGCCAACTGCACCCGTACCTTGAGAAGCAGAGATGGCTACAGTGCTACATGCCTTGGTTATATCCCGTCTGGATTACTGTAATGCGCTCTACGTGGGGTTGCCTCTGAAGAGTGCTTGGAAACTTCAACTGGTCCAAAGAGCTGCGGGCAGGTTGCTCACTGGGGCTGGCTACAGAGAGCAGACAACCCCCCTGTTATAGCAGCTCCACTGGCTGGCAGTCTGTTTCCGGGCACAATTCCAAGTGCTGTTTATGACCTTTGAAGCCCTAGCTAGTTCAGGTCCTGGCTTATCTGGCTGACTGCTTCTCCTTGTACGAACCTGCCCGGGCCCTGAGATCTTCAGGAGAGGCCCTTCTCTCAGTCCCACCTTCCTTCTCAATGGCTGCCCCTCGACTCTGGAACTCCCATCTTCCCAGGGAAGCCAGAATGCCCCCCTCCCTGTTGTCCTTCAGGGGGCAGGTTAAAACCTTTTTATTCAGGAAGGTTTTTAACTAAGAAGGTTTTAAAGGTCTGGTCAGGGGGTGCTGTGGTTTTAGATGGATTTTGTCAATTTTTTAGTGCTGTATGGGTTTAATTCTGTTTTAGTGTTTGCATATTTGAATATTTTAAATTGTATACTAATGCTTTTATGTCAAGCTGTTTAAGTCCCCTTTGGGAGAGATGAACTGGGGTATAAATAAATGTAATAAAATAACAATACTTACGTTTTTCTTGCACATAGAGGTAGCCTTCCATTGTGTAAGGACTGATGTTTTTGTGCTCATGGGGATTCTCCTTCATCTTTCTCATCAAGGACTCAACTTCTGATCTTGTGCCTTCAAAACGGTTTCTTGTCTGCATTTAAACCAAAAAGTAAGACTGATGCCAAGGAGACTTTCCATAGGACACAGGGCATTATAAAAAGGCTGGGTAAAACAGGGCTGGGCAGTCTTTAGGCTTACAGGATCTGGTTTGTTTTTTCCCTAGAACCCTAAGGCCTGCTGACCAGAGCTAGATGTATGCCCTTTAACTCAGGAAGATGAACACCTTGTTATGATTAATGTATCTCTGACTTTGTGCTGAGTCCAAGGATCTATTTCTTCCACAATAACGTGCACAAATCCTTTCGCACACTCCTGTTCTCCCCATGTTTTCTTGGGGAGGGCAAAAATGACTTTCTGTTCTTGCATTAGTTGAACCATTTAGAGGAGGCCAGAAACCCTCTTCAATTTTCAAATTACTTGTGCATCCCAATGTTTATTCTGTCTACTTGTCATGTTAAAAAAACTGCTGTCCTCAGAAATTTTTCTGCTTGAGGCTGGTTTTTCCCCTCTTCATTCTTAAAACTAAGGTGCATTATGATCTCAAATTATTCAGGAACTTAATGTAGAAAATCCCACATCTGTTCTATTCCACTGCAGTAAGAATACAAGAATACAGTACATCCATTTATTGCCAGATATAATTTTCATAAAAAGGACCTTTCTAAAATGCTCAATTAAAAAGTAACCTCTAATTTAAATTTACAATATGCATGTTTTACACACAAGCATACACCAACACTGACAGTCTCACACTTTGGGAAACCAAAAAGGTACACCTCTTCTTTTTGGAAGAATAAAATGACTACATAAATATGCATTGACAGACAGATCACAAAAATAATCTGGAATATGGAATTGTAAAATATATGTGGTCTCACTTGCCTAGATAAAATTTATTTAAGAATGTTTTAAATACATTCTTTATCCTAAATGGTCCATTGTAGCAAAATAGTAGCACAGACAAAATAGTAAGAATGTGTTACTCTGAATTATGGATAAGATCTTATTTTTCCTGGTTATGTATTCAGACAAAGGTTGGCAAGAATTTTGCAAAGATTTCTAAAAAAAACTGGGATCACAGTCAATATTCAGAGAACTGGATAGCGTAAAAACTGGCATTAAAATATCCCAATCATAAATTCTCCTGCTGAGAAACCCAAGCTAAGCCTATAAGAGAAGTAGAGAGTGGAAGCTGCCAGCATCAGCTTCAGGCACCAGAACTCATAAATGATGTCACATTCCTGGAGAAGAAAATGATTTTCAAGACTTGCTGAAAGCACAATACATCTAAGCATGGATGTTGATATCCATTGGCTAATAAGCTAGATGGTGCTGAATCACCATCTTCACGATCCTTCAGGAGAGTAGGGGAGTGAAGAGTGGCTTAGCCATTAAAAGATTAAACATTTTCATTAAACATTAAAGATTAAGCCAGATGATAACAATATAAAGGGGCTCTCTGATATATGTTTTGACTCATTGCTTACATTTTGAATGCTGATTGTCAGCTCTGTTTTGAAATCACTGAAGTCCTTTGCAAGCTCATAACCATGGTGGTAGAATGTGAACAGCCCTTGCAGAAATGCCAGCAGCTTCAGGGGAAAAGAAAATAGCCAAGTTAGGAGAGACCCATGCTCACATTGACTTAGATTTGAGCTAGCAAATAGAACATCACTGCTATTGTCCTCCTTTATTCCCACACTCTTTCCCAGCCCATCCAAAAAAGAAAAAAGAAATTAAGACTCCAGTCCTTTGCTTAGCAGACAGTATATTCCACTGCAATCAGAAGGACTTACTTCTCAGTACATACTGGAATGATTGTTCTGCATAGTTCTAATCCTATGCAATAATTTAAATTAAATGCATAAACCAAGAATAAGTTTATGGAAGGTGATGGGACTTTAAGCTGCTTCAAAAGTTTTCATAAAACAGACAGACAGAGTCAAACTACAATGTCGAACTGTGCAGTCAACCCTCCACATTTGCACAGGGTCCTCCACATTTGCACAGTAGAAAACCCACAAATTAAAAAACACATTTAAAAAAACTTAAAGGAACATTCTACGGTTGGCTCTGACTGCAAATTGATCACAGAGTCAGAATGATGGACCTGAAGATTTCTAGAGAGACCATGTTAATCAAAACCATGAATATCAAATCCACAAAAGTTAAACCCTCAAATGTGGAGGGCTGACTATAATAGGCAACTTCTTAACAACTTTAGTAGATCTACCTCTTTAAATATTAATTGCAAGAACTCAAGTAAGCATTAGAAATCACATACATGCATTATGTGCTAAGCACACACCTTCTTTCAACTCACCAATATATAAGCAGCTGGGATACTGCAATGTCTTGTTTAGTCCCCATAAGGAAACTAGCAAAAGTCTATGAGCTCAACTACACAATCAGCCAGTGAAGGGGGCAGGATACTTCACTATTTTATGAACTTGTCAGTGGAAGTGCAAGCAGTTAAGTAGAGTCCACATTAGTGTCACTGGGTCAAGTACGGTTTTTTTTTTCATGTCAGGAGCGCTTGAGAAACTGCAAGTATGAGAGAATTGACCATCTGCAAGGACATTGCCCAGGGGACACCCAGATGTTTTTTTTATGTTTTACCATCCTTGTGAGAGGCTTCTCTCATGCCCTGCATGGGGAGCTGGAGCTGACAGAGGGAGCTCATCCACGCTCTCCCCAGATTTGAACCTGTGACCTGTTGGTCTTTAGTCCTGCTGGTACAAGGGTTTAACCCACCGGGGGCTCCTAAGTATGTATTGTTAAGTAGGCATAATATATGAATTCAGATTATTCATTTATTATTTACCAAAAGGAAACTAATCCAATCTGGTTCAAGTATAAGATAATGCGAGGAAGCCTTAGGGTTCTATCCAAAAGTAGATCTCTATCCACAGAATAGAGGGAAAGAAACAATGCTGTAACACTGATACATTAACATTGATGTTTCTTTGGAAATTCACCCACTGTAACACAACTGTTTTTATAGAGACTTTACAGCCAGTATTTGATAGATTTCTGGTCAGAATAGCCAAGGAGCTATGTTGTCAGCTACCTGTCCTTTTACTGTAAAATAATCCATAATGCAACAGTGAGAAATGATAGCAAAGTATCTTTACTTACTGGTTCCACAAACTCAAACATTTTTCTTTCCTGAACTTCTTGAACTTTGAAGACATACTCAAGGGAGACTTCATAGAAGTGCTGTCGAACCACGTCCACCTGGCTATCTGCCTGTCAGTCACCAGGGGCATCAGAAAAAGACAGAAGAGCTATTAACTGAGTACACAAAAGACTGCATGTTTGCATGGCAGCTTTCACAAAACATAGGTCAGAAACACCACAGAGAAAAAGCAGCTAAATCACTTTATCAAGCTCACCTTTCACATCAGTTGAGGGCATGCAAACACAAAGTTGGCGAACATTTACTTCTGGGAGAGCCCTTCAAGGGTTTCCTCACTGACATGATTGGTAACCACCAATAAGCCTCTCTAAAAGACAGCTATTCCCCATTTCCTATCTTCCCAGTCTTGGAGCAGTAGTAGGTGTTTTGTAAGTCACAATGGGAATTCAATATGAGCTCTGGAGAATCTCAAAACTCCCTGAAAATACTCCACATCAGAAGTAAAAAAAAGTACGGCCTGCAGACCTCACAGGATCCCAAGGATTCCATTTTTATAGACCATGAAGCCCTCCCAGCAGTCCCCAATGCTCCCAGCAACAAAAAATTAGAAAAAAACAATTTTCTACCAGTTTGTGTACAAACCCATACAAAAATACCTCCTGCCCCCCAAATGCATATGACCCCCAGAACTTCTAAATAATTCTACTTTCCTTCAAATCCTTTTCAAAATGATTAGAGGACGTGATGCAAAATTAAATTGGCAGAGCTTAGGTGGAATGTTATTATTATTATCCTTTTGGCTAAAGTAGATGATTCATGGAGAAATTCAGTTAGGCAAACTGCTAAATATAAAGTTGTGTTTTTGTTTCAAATTGTGGCAGGTCATAACCGACTGTGTAATATTCAGGTGCAGAAATTCCTGCCAAAACATGACATCAAGAGGACAAATGCCAATATTGTAATTCCTAGATTCTTAGATCATTCAAGTCAAAACATGGCTTTTTTATTAAAGTCTCTCGACTCTAAGTGGATTTATCCAATTTGCACATGTGTTATGATTTCCATTATATTAAATTGTAGTAACTAGTTGTAAATTGTCCTGTTTTTAAGTGTTAAATGGTTTAATATGTTTTAGTCCTTTAAATTATTCTTACTGCATTGAAACTGTTCTAAACTGATTCTTGGATAAAGGCTGGGATATAAATATATTAAAAATATAAAACAAAATAAATATTTTTAATTTCTCAAAAGCTGTCAGCAATACTTTTTGTTCTTTATGTTAAACTGGCAGGCTCACATTTTTAGTATGAGCCTTCCTCCAAAGAGCTCATGATACCCTTCACAATAAAATTAAAGGTCATTTGGTACATTTCATAGTTGCGTGGGGCATTGAATTAGTCTCCAGCCACTAAACCACAGGAGCTCTCACACTAAGCATACCATGTTTTCAGGAATCCAATGTAGAATCCGTGGGATACTCTCAGAGTAGTCAATAAAACATAAAGCCTGTAATACCGTATCCATGGCCTTACTATAGCAACTATGTGAATTCCAGTCTCCCAGATGTTTGGCCAATATAACCAAGTTAATGAAATAGGTCAGGGCTCTCAACACATGAGCGGTTGTCTTTGACCGAGCCAGGCACGCCCGTGAAGCAGCTGGTATGTTATTAATGAAGCACAGCATCCACTCTGCTAAAACAACAGACCTCTCCACACGCATCTGTCACTCCGCTGGCAGGCTTCCCCTTCTGAAATCCTAGCTCAGCCACTACAGCTTCAGACATTTCAAGCTTGGGAACATGTAGCCTCCTGCTCCCATGTGGAAACACCTTAGATGTAGCCAGCTCATTCAGCTCAGAAAGCACCTAGCCAAAGCATGATGCTATGCAATCAGGGTGGCTCTTTGGCTCAAAATGTAACAAGATGAATAGAGTTAATTTTCAAATTCCTCTGTGGACAGCCATCATGCTGTCTCAATGCCAAATATCAAGTTTTGCATTTAAACGAAGGTGGGAAGGGACTCAGACCTCCTCTTATTAAAGCTAAACATACCAAAGAGGATTCAGAAACAAAGTTTAATATGGAACATATCCACAAGGTGGCACCAATACTCAAACAGTACACATTTGAATAGCTTTAATAGAGATGAAAAAGAAAAGGGCATTAACCAAGATTACTTTTACCATGTTTTACATTGCTCTATTAAGTTATAATCAACAGCATACGTGAGCATCTGCATCGCCCGTGGAATCTAGAGACACTATTTTTCTTTTTCAAATTGTATGAAAATAAATGCACACAACAAAAAGAATGTCTGTACTTGAAAAAATGCACACAAATATGTTTTAAACAATGTATACTTTAAATAAAATGGAAAGCAAAATTTTCATGCAGGAAGAAAAACACATCTAACAACAGAATACGTCCCTTGGCTGGATAAGAATTCTAAGAAGCTAACTGATGCTTATATCCCTGAGCTTTAAAGGAGGATGAAATAAAATTCCTAAGTGTCACGCTGGTTTGGAGACACAAAACAGGAGGTTGCTTCTGCCATTAGGTTTTGTTTCCCATGGACACCTGACTAGCCACTCCATAAACAGAATGCTGGCTTTTGGTCCAATTACGGAATTCTTCCTCGTAGGACATCAAAGTAACATTTCAATGGAGATGAATAATTGGCCATCCTTATTCAAACCAGTAAATAAAGTTCAACACTCTTCATGACATTGTCCCTTTGCCCTGATTGCTGGATGGTAACTTATATAATGATGGTAGAAACAACAGCTGGAAGGATGATCCTCGTTCTCCATATTCTTTTGTATTTTTAAATGCTTGCATTCTGGGCATGATATTCAATATTAAAAACATTTATTTGGGGCAGTGGTTCTCAAACTTTGGACCTCCAGGTGTTTTGGACTTCAACTTCCAGAAATCCCAACTAGCTTACCAACTGCTAGGAATTATGGAAGCTGAAGTCCAAAACATCTGGAGGACCAAAGGTTGGGAACCACTGATTTAGGGCCAAACCACACATTTCATTATATGCATTACTTTCTGCAGTAGGGAGGGAAAGGGTTACTCTCCTTGTTATTATAATTCTAATTGAAATGTGTGGAGAGAATGACTTTATTTTAGTTTTAAAAACACAATGTAACATGCAATGTCAACTAAGTATACTTAGAACTGGCTCCTGAGTCCTCCAGTTCAAAACAAACAGTGAGATAACAATAAGAAAGAAAGAAAGAAAGAAAGAAAGAAAGAAAGAAAGAAAGAAAGAAAGAAGCCAAATTCACCTCTTGAAGCTGGGATTCTTTCTTCTTGGAAGACAGGTTTAAGTGCTTTTCTAACACACCGCAATATTTCTCAGTCTCTTTGTCATACTTTTTCTTGGCTTCCTGTCAAAAAACATAGCACATACAAGACTATCAACAACAGTAGTTCTTCAGACATTCCCTCCCCCATGAAAAGTGACCCCCCAAAATGGCCTGAGCCATCCAGCCATCAAGTCCAAGTCTGGGCTCTAACTTCATTGACTGGGTCAAGTCTATCCACTGCAGTGCAGTCTTCCTCTTTTCCTACTGCCTTTAAGAAAAAACAAGTACAACTATTTTTGTTGTTGTTGTTGTTTGCAACAAGTCATGTCCAAGGTACACTTCCTTCCATTTAGTCATTTTGGCTTCTAGAAAAGGTTCAGGCTTGGTTTGCTCTCAGGCATATTTATTTGTCAATTCAGCAATCCACGGTATCCAATAAAGCTTTTTTCTAGTAATAAAATGACATGAATGAACCTAATTTTAGGTTTCAATATTATATGTTAACACTTGACAATTTTATCTAGTTCCTCATACTCACCCTTCCAAGTCCTAGTCTTTTTGTACTGTCGAAGGCTTTCATGGCTGGAATCACTAGGTTCTTGTGGGTTTCTTCGGGCTATAGAGCCATGTTCTAGAGGCATTTCTCCTGACGTTTCGCCTGCATCTATGGCAAGCATCCTCAGAGGTAGTGAGGTATGTTGGAATTAGGACAATGGGTTTATATATCTGTGAAATGGCTGGGATGGGGCAAAGAGCATTGAGTCACCTAAACCGCATTGAGTTGCCTAATTAGGCTGAAAAATGCGGTATAGAAATAAAGCAAATAAATAAATAATAAATAGGTGTGAATGTTTCAGCTGACCACCTTCATTAGCATTTGAAGGCCTGGCTGAGGCTGGGAAAATCTCTTGCTGAGAGGTGTTAAGATGTGCCTGGTTGTTTCCTCTCTGTTGTTTTGCTGTTGTAATTTTAGAGTTTTTTAATACTGGTAGCCAGATTTTGTTCATTTTCATGGTCTCTTCCTTTCTGTTGAAATTGTCCTAGTCTTTTTTCTGATTTTCTAACTAAAATCTCCATTCTAATTTATGACTGAGCCAAAGCATATAAAACTTTTGACTATTTCAAAGTCTTCATCACCTACTTTAAAAGGGCCGCCCAGTGGCGCAATGGGTTAAACCAGGGGTCCTCAAACTAAGGCCCAGGGGCCGGATATGGCCCTCCAAGGTCATTTACCCGGCCCTCGCTCAAGGTCAACCTAAGTCTGAAATGGCTTGAAAGCACACAACAACAACAATCCTAATAAGTTTATATTTGTTAAAATTGTTCTTCAGGTTAACCTACTTTAAAGTTATTCTCAATTACTAATGTATATCCCAATGAACCAGTAAGAACTCATGGCACCCTTAAATATTGAAGACTAATACTCAAAGTTTGTAAAAGATTGCATTGAATTTTTTTGAAAATCCGTGTGACAAAGTATCTTATCAAAAGTATCACAGCAATGTTGATGCTTGACATAACATCTCTCTAGAAACAACTTGGAAACAACGACATCTAAAAAGTACCTTTTCAATCCAGCTAATAAAATGGTCCACAGGAAGCAATGAAACTTCCAACTATTACTTACCTCGCCATATAACGTAAGACTGAATAAAGTTTAATGAGCCAGAAGAGTTTTTATGTTACCTTGTTGTGACTTCTGCTAATCAAGTGCTCTGAGTACAGCTTGGTACCTGATGGCACATTACACATTGGTAAGGATAATTTGGGGCTATATGGATTTTTTTCTGTTAAGGCTAAATTAATTCTAGTGCTTTCTATAATTTGATTTCTTATTTGGTGTCACTTCTAGGTATTGCTACTGTAATAAAAGAAGCTCCACCATGAAGATTTTACAGGAAGAGTCATGTTTATAAGAAGAAAGGCCAAAGAAACTGGCAAAAGCCCATATATCTTACCAGCAATAACATGTTGCTATAGAAACCCAGCAAGACAAGACACAAAGTACAATGCTTGCAGCAGCTGAATAAAAGGATGAATTGTGTCTAGTGTTCACTATAAAACAAACCTTAAAGAAAGATTTCCAGGACTCCCTCTGGAAAACCAAATAATTGTTGTCAATAATTCAATTTCTTCGGTGTCTTTTTTCTTTAAAAGGTTGTATTACCCAAAGTGGGAGTCTATGGGTTTGCAAGAAACAAAGGAGTAACTCTAGACACAAATATTTCCTCTGGCATTATGGGGGAAAGATAATAATAACTGCTGGTCCCACACATCAGATAACTCCACTGGGTGCTGACAAGCTTCTTGGCCCAATTCAAAGTGCAGGTTATTAGCTATAAAGTCCTATACGGTTCAGGTCCAATCTATCTTCGAGACCGCACCTCTTTCTATGAATCGGCGTGGGCCTAAGATCTGCCAGGGAGGCCCTTCTCTTGGTCCCATCTCCGTCTCAAGTGTAATTGGTGGGGACGAGAGTGAGGGCCTTCTTGGTGGTGGCCCCCCAGCTTTGGCATGCCCTCCCTAAAGAGATTAAGGTAGCCCCCTCCCTCCAGGTTTTTGGAAACTCCTGAAAACATGGCTTTTTAAACAAGCTTTTGACAATGTTTAGGGATTACGATCACTATATTTGAGGACTTAGTGAGTGGTCACTATTGCACTTTATGAGGACGGATATTGTACATAGCCACCATTATATAGCCTATCCGGGGGGATTCGTATCTTTAATTGATAGGGGTTTTATCGCTGTTTTTTGTGGAAGGGGTTAATTTTATTGTTATTAATTTTATCTTTTTGTATTTTGTTGCATTTGCTTTGTGTTGCACTATTGAGTGCATCCTGTGAGCCGTCCCGAGTCCCCCCTGGGAGATGGTGGCGGGATACAAATGAAGGTGTTTATTATTATTATTATTATTATTATTATTATTATTATTATTATTATTGGGAAGCACTGCTCTCAGAGTTGTATAGATAAAATATGGAGAATAACAAAACTAATATAGCCGCCTGCAACTGTGTTGCAATCTTCCTTTTCTTTTCTTTTTTAATCCCAAACAATGTAGTATCAAAGAATGTGTGACACCACACTATCAAAAAGCCTGTCAGAGTTGGCTATATAACAACATGCAAATATTATTTGCATGTTATTACACTGCCTTCTGATTCAGTAAATATCTCAGGTATCAAAGCAGGCATACTGGCTGTGTCTGTCTTTTCTCTGATAATAGGGGAGAACCCATGAAAATGGCCATCAATACACAATGTCATCATGGGGAGAGCATATTTTCAGGGCATAAATGAAAACTGCTCCCCTCTAGACTTATTTCTAGTAAAAATAATGGCTTGGCTGCCAATCCCTGAGGAGGCTGTCATACTCAGCAGAGCATTTCTAAGCTGAATATAACATAATTGAGATATACATTTGGAATGATTTGGCAAATGCATTTAAATCACAATTTAGGAGTGGGAAGAGAATCTAGACACTGCTTTTGAAGCTAACAAAATATTTGGCTGATGCTCCATAGAGAGCTTAAGAGACAGATTATCCAAAAATGGTTTCGCGTATGATAAAACTAGAGTTCTTCGACAAAGAATTATTAACATTACACCATATAACAAGCTTTTGTCCCTGGGTTATAAATGGCATTTCCTAATTGGTTCTATCATAAAAACAAAGGGAAAGTTTATTAAGCTGCTCCAGCACATTTTGCTATAGTTTTTCAATGAATATCTTCCAGTCTCAACCATAATTTGTGGCAGCCACAAAAACAAAGTTTCTGGATTAGAACAACTATGTTCAAAGTAAGTACCACACAACTGAACAGGGAATAACACTTTCAAACCAGGGACAGATTTCTTTTCAAATTTTGTTACATAGTGTTATCAACTCTTTAGCAGAAGAGCAGAAACTCTATGTTATATATGAAACCAGGAGGCATGCATCATAAAGTGTGAATTAACCATAAAGGGGGGGGGGGGCTTACACAAACAAACAATCAGCAATACTGTGCCTGTGGGTCTCATAAGCAACTTCCTACAATAATCTCTGGAAGATATGTGATGACAGATCCCTCAAGATGACTTATAACAAGCTAAGAATTACGTAACAACTGCTACTACCTGTAACTCATAAAATAAATGATGGAGATAAAAGATCTGACAGCAAGGGTCATCTGTTCATCAGTGAATCACAGAAAATTTCCAACTATCTTGAGAACAACCTTCAAATTTCCAGCAGAAAAAAAGGAAGAATTCTCCATTTCCCACCTACCTTAGCAGCACCAATTTGCTCCTTACGGAATTTCTCCAGAGGAGTGATTAGGACTTCACTGGCATTTTCAATCTGATATAAAAACAAACAAACACATTAACTCTCTTCCATTTTGGAAGCTTCTTCATTCAGTTAGTATAATTCTGTCTGACTATGGCAGATGGATTCTCCCTAAGAAATCAGTGTGACTCAGATTTTATATGCTATATTATGAAGGGTCCCTACACTCATATATACAAAAATAACTGGTGCTGATATATAAATACTTCACATTATAACAGTTCAAGAACTGTGCAATGTGAACATGTACATACAGTATAGCTCTTTGTGTATGTGGGGGGGGGGGAGTAGAGAAAGTCATAGGACTAAACAGCTCCAAAAATCAGCCCCCTACTCCATTCAGTACTCTGGTGTCCTTTGTGGCTGTCCTTTCCTTCTTTTGAATTTCATACAACAGGGTGCAGTGAAAGCAGTTGCAAGTCAGTAAGAGTAAAGGATTTGATTCTGAAGAAATGTACACCTCCAATTGTATATTTCCAAAATGAAGTTGCAAGTAATATGTTGTTGCAAGTAAAACACTGTTGTTGCTTTTCCGTCTCCTTCTTAATGTCCTTTTGCATTCTCCTATGCGGGTTCTTCATGTTCTCCATGGGCAAGAACCTATACAGTTTTGCCCCAGGTACGAATCCCTAACTAGAGGACACCAACTTGAAAATAATGGTGAAAGGCAAACTCTGACCACTTATTTTATTTTACTATTGTTGCTCCCCACCTTCATTTGGGGGGTTAGCCTCAGGTTTACAATTCCACAACCCTGTCCTAAACTCTAGTCAGAAACATCAGGCATTAAAGACAGGAAAGAAGTAGCCATCTATAAGATTCTGTTATGACTTCCTCGTCTCACATCATTCTTCTGCTCAGTGTGTGATTGCCATCTGAGAATTTGCTCGGAAGTCTGGTTGGACCAGACACAGGACCTTTCTGATTATAGAGCCGAGTATAATAACTACACTATGACTGTCTGGGCAGGGGGTCACACAATCCCACCGCTGTCCCTCCTTTAATAAGGAATTCACACCACTTTGGCACCTAGATAACACTTGAGGGGATGTCTCTTTATTTAAACCTTCGCTGCCACCATAAGTATAAATGAACAGGAACCCTCTAGCTGGTTAAAGATATAGGATTACTTCTAGGACCACCAAACACTGTGTTTTTTAAAAGGGCTTCTTTGTAGGAAAACAGATGAGGTTGAGCTTAAAAAGAAGAGGGACTAAATCCACAAATGGCACTTGACTCAGGCTTAGGTTTTAAAAATAACAAGGAAAGTTTATTGAATACAGAACAGAATGAAGTGAATGCAGTTTAATAAGCTTGGCTGTTACAGATGGAATGTTCTTGTTCATAAAAGCGTAACGGTTGCATGAGAGAATGGTTCTATCTTTGTTACAGTTCCTATACAAAACCCAGCTATTTCTTCTCTAAAATAGCTGTAACCAGTCTGCCACAGCCTACTTTGCTGTGCAAACTTCAGGCAAGCTGCCTATTCCTAACAGGAACTCCTAAAAGCCTTCTATAATCTTGCTCTAACTCTAACATCAACCAGAACTGAACTGAACTGACTAAAAGAAGCTTCTTACTTTCCCTCCAACAGTCTAACTCCGCCCCCCTTTAACAAACCAATCCTGGCTGTTTCAGGGCTGGCTCAGGCCTAGGCCACTCCCCCTCTCTGAACTGGAGCTTTCCCTAAACCAAAATGGCTCCTGCCGCTCTCTGCCAGGCCTTCTAAGGATTAACTAACTAGCCTGCCTCTCCTAGGCCCTGCCACCCCGATCTGGCAAGGTAAGGGATCTTCACACCGAGCTTTTGGGAAAGCCTGTTGTCCACCTCTTTTAGATCATCCTTGAATGCTGTCAAAACTTTTCTTTTCTTGCAAGATTTTAGGATGTTCTCTGTGCTGTCAATGCAGTTTCAGCCAGTTCTGGATTTTCTGTCTTAGAAATCACAATATAATATAACTGAATTGTGCTTCAATTACACTATGTTTCTATTTCATAGTAGTGAGACCCCATAAACAGGTGCTTCTACTACAGTCAAAGATACTTGGGAATAGCAGCAAGAAAAGATGGGCGCAAGCTCCATGCAAGTGTGCATGTTTATATATGTGTGGGTGGCACTGGCATCTGTTGCTGAGTTATTAGAAGCAGATCATGAAGGTGGAAAATGTAGACACAATCAGCACATTTCACCCAACTCTACAACATCTGCATTTAACACTATCAGGGAAATTTTACTCCAACTAAGACCAAAAATGTATAAACATTCTTGTCCACACAATAGGGTCTTTGTTCTCTTGAGTGCAAGACCAACTGGATTCAGCAGTAGGCAGTTCATCATGGCTTACTATTCCTGTTCTGCTGCCAAGACTTACTTTCCAAGGATGAATATTGCCATTCTTTTAGAGGCACAAAAGCTGACAATTCTGGCTGTTGGCTATACTACAGCCATGAGCCAAAGCAGGCAAGAATAGCAGTGAAATTACACACAGTCTTCTTCCCATGGCCAGGGTATATCCATTTGACATCATATATAATTAGCAAAAAGAAAACTCATTTCCCAAGCATAATACACAGACATATCCAAAATTATCTGTGCCAAAATAAAAATGCACACCTTTTATTTTCACCTAGATGAGATCTGGGGTGTTTTGTTTTTTTTTGTTATTTTCTACATCCCTTCCTTGCACAGCAGTAACCAACAATCACAAGGTTCATTATCAATGGCCTTTTTGCTCTCCCCCAAAATGCCATACATAAAAAGACTTGCGCTCTTAGAAGTTCATACCATGCGTATGCGCTCGTCTTCTAGGTTTCTAAGAACAGCAGCAAACTCTTGCAGGGATTTTGCTAGATGAAAAGAAAAAGAAAATTACCAGATAGGCTACACTGAGGGTTTTATTTTTTCTAAGAGATAGATTGCTTACTCCATCCACCCATGCACCTCCAACCCCCTTTCCCCTCCAAAAAATTGCTAGAAAACATGTTTAGCTGTGCTTTAAAATACATGGGGAATTGCAAATGACTCTCTGCAGTATGATAGCCATGTATAAATATGTGAGAGGAAGCCACAGGGAGGAGGGAGCAAGCTTGTTTTCTGCTTCCTTGGAGACTAGGACGCGGAACAATGGCTTCAAACTACAAGAGAGGAGATTCCATCTGAACATTAGGAAGAACTTCCTGACTGTGAGAGCCGTTCAGCAGTGGAACTCTCTGCCCCGGAGTGTGGTGGAGGCTCCTTCATTGGAAGCTTTTAAGCAGAGGCTGGATGGCCATTTGTCAGGGGTGATTTGAATGCAATATTCCTGCTTCTTGGCAGGGGGTTGGACTAGATGGCCCATGAGGTCTCTTCCAACACTTCGATTCTATGATTCTATGATTCTATGTATGTTGTGCACACATTCTGCTGTGTCTAGTCTACACCAGTAGCCCTCATTGCTACTTTTCAATGTTTGGGAGGAATTGTTTTAATAATGACTAATTGGACAGCTGTATTGTCGAAGGCTTTCATGGCTGGAATCACTGGGTTTTTGTATGTTTTCTGGGTTGTATGGCCATGTTCCTGGAGCATTGTCTCCTGACGTTTCGCCTGCATCTACACAGGCATCCTCAGAGGTTGCATACCTCTGAGGATCTCTGCCATAGATGCAGGCGAACATCAGGAAAGAATGCTTCTGGAACGTGGCCATACAGCCCACAAAACACACAACCCAATAGGGCAGCTGACTGCTTTCTTCTGTCATTACTTTAAATCTCAGGCTTTCCGTGGTTACAAAAGAACGGAAGAAGAAGAAAAGCAGGATTTAAATAAATGACAGAACTGTGTTGATCCTCATAAAATGTTCATAGTATTTTTACGGTAAGCCATGTTTCTACAACATGATTCCTTGCCTCCTTATCTATAAGCATACAGAATAGATAGTTCTGCTACACAGTCCCTTCAAAAGCTAGAAAGACCTAGTGGCCAGGCCACAGATAATTTTGGTTGAGGTACAAAGTAAATATTACTCAATTCTTCATTTCCATTTCTGATTTTCTTTGATGGGGATCCAACAGTCAACAGAAAACATAGAACATTACACCCCACACTTTTAATTATGGACTTAATCTTCAAGACTAAATCATTCACAGTCCAAAGAAAATGATCTAAATAGATGAAGCAAAAGTGTGTGTGGTTCTAAGTCATCTCTGAGGGAGAACGAAACCTTTCCATCAACCATCTGCAAAATCTGACTAATAATTTACAGAGTCATATCTGCTGGACTACTGTAGGTGGCATTTTGCACATTGCACTAATGAGAATTCCTCCTACTTAAACAACTGAAATAGACAATCTGCATCAAGCTCCACAGGGGGTTATTGAAGCCTACACACTTACCTATACATATTTCATCATCCGTTTCAGCATCACCTATACATCGAAACTTAAAATCATTCAAGGAATCTGCAAACTTCCGTTTTGCTGAAGACAGATCTGCCAAAAAATAGAGTTGGATAGTGATATTAAATACTGAACAACATATCACTAGAATATAACTTCTTACTAATTCAAATGTAGTCTCCTTCCCTTCAGATATGTTTGGTGGATAGTGGTGAGGGGCATCTCAACAAATAATAAGAAACTTTGAAGTCCATAGTATGCTTAAATACTCTCCAAATCCTGTCTGATCTTGGATGGCAAACAGGGCCATCCCTAGTTAGTACTTGGATGGAAGACCACCAACAAATACCGTGTGTTGTATGCTATATTTCAGAGGAGGGAACTGGTAAAACCAGTTTTGAGGATTCTTTGCCTAAGAAAACCCTATACCACTTGCCATAGGTCAACAGGCAATTCAGAGGTACACACACTGAAGGCAGGTTGAATGGACTGGTGCTGCTGCAGGAATAAAATGTAAGGAACAAACTTTACAATTTTGGGAATGGAATTCTGCTTTGAAAAGCAAAACTTAAATAACTGCTCAATTGTGACAATATATGTATGATCTTAAATCACAACATTATTTCCTTTATGCATTACAGTTGTTTATTATTGTCTCCTAGTTTACTGAAGTTTGTATTAAAATAACATGCATACATTTACATTCAAATATTTTTCTGTAATTATTATAAACATGCCAATCTGTAGATTATGTTGGGCCACTTATTTTAGTTGAATGATCTATTATATTTCTGAAACATGACAAGTAACTGCTGTATACAAATCATTCATGGAATTTCTCTTCTGAAGGAGAGCAATTTAAAAAGCTTGCTTCTATATCTCAAGTTGTATACTATCCATATTCACTTAAAGATTTGTCCTTAGCAATTCAGTAGAATATATCTCCATATAATAACAACATTAGATTTGTGTAACCCATCATTAACAATACATTGCATTTAGTTACTAGGCTAGGTCTACAAGCAGGGCCTTGTGAATACCCTTGGCAAAGCTCCTAGCCATTTTAGGCATTGAATAAATAAAATATATAATTTGCAAAGCAGCCCTTTTATTTATGTATTTTCCAACAATAGAAATAGTTTCCAGGTTAAACTGAAGATATTTCTACTCAAATATAAATACTATAACAAGGATATTGTAACAGAATTTGAAAAATATTTTCTAAAAAAAAAACAATTTAGCTTTGCAGATTTCTATATTCTCTCTTTATCTCTCTCCATAGTTACACATATATATGCGCACACACTCAAAACCTTGTCATAAACCACAGAAGTCGGTTTTAGACATAGGGACAGGGGTGGGTGTTATATGTGGGGTGGTGGTGGGTTACGGGGTCACTTTTTGAATGGTTTGTATGTAAAAATGTCTACAGTCTATCAGATGTTTGTTTTACACGCCTTTTATATGTCAATGTCTATTTTATAATGCAAAATCAATAAGAATTTAATAAAAAAATAAACCACCGAAGATAAGACACTAATATCCTCTGTTAATTTAGCTGCTATCAGTGAAGAATATGTCTTCTGTATTGGACAAGTCAGAACTTTGTAGGAGTAGAAATCTTTTAAAAAGTAACTTTTCCAAGCTCTGATAGAAACATCCTTCAGCTGGAAGTTCTAGTTGATGTGAATCCAACCAACATAGAACATAAAGATCCAGTGATCTAATTCAACATTGTGATTGCTCTCCAAGGGTTCGAGGAGATATTTTGCAGGAAAGCCTGGGGCTTTTTCACACATCACAGTTACACTGCTATGAATCCATTTTATCTGTCACAACAACACCTTATCAAATCCTGGGATTGGTGATAGGGAGATGGGGACTTCATGTTCTTCAGGCACTTTTGACCAAACTACCAAAGGGCAGCAGACTTGTTTTCTTCTGCCCTTAGAAATAGGACTAGGAGCAATGGATTCAAAATGCAAGAAAGGAGATTCCACCTGAACTTTAGGAAGAACCTCCTGAACGTACGAGCTGTTCAACAGTGGAACTCTGTGCCTTGGAGTGTGGTGGAAACTCCTTCCTTGGAAACTTTTAAACAGAGGCTGAATGGTCATCTGTCAGCGGTATTTTGATTGTGCAGATAGGGTTTGCTTTTGGCTTCATTTGTTTCTATCCTTCACCAGAGGACTGGTTTGAGTTGTGTTGAGTTGAAGTAGATGTCCCATGTGGTCTCTTCCAACTTTATTATTCTATGATTCTACAAACCCCAGAATTCCATTGTATGGAATCACAGTACTATAATATTGCAGTTTGAAAGAGTTCCTGAAATAATTAAACCTGGCTTGTGTTCTGCACTTTCCACCAGATGAGCACAAATCACATGCGCGCGCGTGTGCACACACACACACACACACAAATCTGTTCTTCTGGAAGTGAACCGAATAAGGCAAATGTTTCAATTTCCATACAGAAATAATATTTGGTTGTTTAAAAACACACATACAGTTGTAACAGTAAGTTTGTGATTTTACGTGCAGAGGGACAAAACCAAAGGCCTCTCCAAAAGAAATGGAAGGTGGAGGGTGGGGGCAAAAAGTGCAGCACTGCAATAACCATAGCACACAGTTTGCCTTTATTTGTTTTAAAGAACAACTCTAACCTTGCCTTACCCATCTAGATCGCTATCATTCCCCTTTATTACTTTTATATAACCTTTTAAAAAATGAAAGCAAAATAGTTCACACATTCCGCATGACCCCAGTGTGATAAAGATAAGAATGTTCTTTTAATATCAGTACTGAAATGGTGCATAATTCACAATGAGGCTTCCTGGAATGATTACAGAGACAGGCACAAAACAAACACCACAGGCACCTGGCGGGGACGAGAGATAGGGCCTTCTCGGTGGTGGCTCCTCGGCTGTGGAACGCCCTTCCTACGGACATTAGACTAGCACCATCTCTAATGGTATTCCGCAAAAAGGTGAAGACCTGGATACATATATACATATATCTGCAATTATCCATACCCATCCTCCTTTATTAACTAGTCTTGGACTAGGATACAGAGGGACCAGGATTTGACCCTGCTCAGCCTTGGAAACCTACTGGGTGACCTTGGGCAAGTCACACTCTCTCAGGCTCATAGGAAGGCTCAGGCAAACCCTCTGTGAACAAATTCTGCCAAATAACCCAGTGGCTGGTTTGCCATATGGTTGCCATGTGTTGGAAATGACTTAAATGCAGACAACAACAAGGAAAGCAATATGCCTCTCTGTATCTGTGACTGTGAGGCACAAGTGAGAGGATACAATTGTGTTCATGTCCTCCTCCTGGACTTCCTGTAGGTGACCAGTAAATCACTTTGCGAACACAATGCTGGACATGTCTTTGGCTGGGGGGAGGGGGGAGTGGGGGCACAAGTGTGAGGATACAATTGTGTTCCTCCTTGTGGACTTCCCATACAAGATCAGTCAGTGGCTGATCACAATGCTGGACAAGTCTTTATCCTGATCCAGCAGGACACATCCCATATTCTTATACAGCACTCATGGAGACAAAGGAGAAGAAAGGGGTGGAGGACTTTTAAAGAAACCTCACTCAATTGTCACTGCAAAGTAAGAAAAGGAAGGAGATGGCTGAAGATTGATGAAAGCTACAGCAAAATAAATTACCAGCCAAACCCACTTTCACTAGAGTTGGGATTCAATGTGTAATGAGTGAAGAGAGAGGGGGAAATTCATCAAGTTCATGCCTTACTTTCGAACTTCAGTTGCCTTGCTAACAAATCATCCTCAGAGTTGTCTGATGTTATCAACTGAAATCAGTGCAACTAAGATATTGGCCTAAAGCCCTTTCTTTTTAGGCATAACATTCAGTGTTCAAGCTGAGCATCCAAACACACTATATAATCATATATCCATTTTTTATTCTGAAAAATACCACCAAAGTGCCTTGTCAGTGAAAGAAACCATAGTTTCGTATGTCCAACCTCTTGATGCATCTTGCAAAGGGAATATATTAGAATCTTCTCCAGAAAAAGCCAGGTTCCCATTGGTCCTGCACTCCAGACAAAGGTACTCCAATGAACGGGTTCAGCCTCCATTCCTTCCCCACCAAAACCCATTATCTCAATAAGTCCACCACTTTGGAGCCACAATTTAGATTTTAAGATACAAAGTATGGAAGCAAGAAACATTTTACAATGCAAACAGCAGCACCTAAGTGATGAAATCAACCAAGCAAAGCTTTAATGATCCGATTTGACTTCTGAAGATGAAAAGAATGATGGGTTTCTGTGAGTTTTCCAGGATGTATGTCCATGTTCCAGAAGCATTCTCCCCTGACGTCTTGCTCACATCTAGGGCAGGCATCCTCAAAGGTTGTGAGGCTTGTTGGAAACTAGGCAAGTGGGGTTTATATATCTGTGAAATGTCCAGGGTGAAGAAAAAATGCTTATCAGCTTCAGGCAAGTGTGAATGCTGCAATTGATCACTACCACAAATTATGCACCGAATGGTCTTGCAGCTTCAAGGCTTGGCTGCTTCCTGCCTGGGGGAATCCTTTGTTGAGAAGTGATTAGCTGGCCCTGATGGCCTAACATGGCATTTTTCTGGTTCAGGAGCATAAAAAGCAGGGGTAAACCATGCTGATAAAGTATAAAACAAGACTGACAAAACACAGTAGGCTACCTATACTGTCAATCCCAGTTCATTCTTCAATTGAAATTTCCAGAAAAAAATGGCAAACAACCCTTAGGAGTGCAGAAGTGGACCTGTGAAAATATTTTCATTATTTGATTGATTGTATAATCTCTAACCTTTCCTATCTCAAAAGAGCACGTTCCTCCTCTGGGTTACTACAGCTGAGAAAGCTGTAGTCCGTGTGTGGGATAAAGGCCAGCAGAAGCTGTCCAAAAATCACTTCAATAAAATGACTTAAGAGTCACTCCAGAAATAACCCTTCAAACACTGGATCTTCTGTTCTTACCAGATGTTATCCCAACAAACCTAATTGGAGTGGAACTCCCTAATCCACTTAATAAACCAAGTCAGATAATCCCCAAGCCTTCCAAAAGGTTTTCTTTTGCAA